GATAAGAGATTATCCAGACAGGATCGAAATGAGAATCTAGAATCATTCCGACAAGGGGTCATCAAATGAGGATAAAAAGCGCCAGTGACGCTAATTTGGAAGAGCTAGCTTGCAAATAACGAGGTAATCCTAGCAAAATCTGCGTCAATGTAAATTTAATGGATAGCATAGGAGCAAGCTGTCTTCCCAACAAAGTGATCATTCTGAAAACAGTTATCAGGATTTCCAGGAGTTCTCGCAAACATTTTGATACGGTCGGCTTATAAATACAAGTTATTTTTACATTTCACCATAAATACAAATAGTTTATTTCTGTCCTTAAGCAATTCTGAAGATTTTCCATTTGCTTTTTCCGCTCTAAAGATAAAATGTCAATTAAAACACACACAGAGCAAAAAGCTGCGTAGTTACATGTACAGCATAATGAGATCTTGAAGTAGGCAAGTTTAAAGAATTCAGAGAATCGGAAAACAGATCTGGAGCGCTTTGGAAGAACGAAGAACGCGGAAGCACCAAAACATCCGAAATTTAAAGAAAAATGATGCACTGCTCAAAATACTCATCAAAGCTGTTCTGAAGGTGATGCTCTGTCCCGTGAAAAGCTGTCCTCAAAATGAACCGGATCTCAAGTGACCTCGGAAGTGCTTTTTCGAGCCTGTTGTCTTCATGCGACGGTATAAACGTTGTACTGATTCACTGTACTGGTTCACTTGCACTTCCAGGCTCCTCAGTATCTTGCAATTGATAGGACCATCCATCCGCGAATCCTGCAACTACGCCTATCCGACTCTTTTTTCAACATTTACTTAAATCAAAATGATGCGCAAGAGTATTAGTCTACCATACTTATGCCATTTTCTGTTACTACTAAAATCGTCAGTAGAATTGATGTGGGATTCAATTTTAGTAACGCTACTGGAATATACATAAATGCTGTCACTGGGAGTAGCTACACGAGACGCATTCTGTCTTAATTTTTATATTTTTAGCTAGCGTTCGCGTTCTATCTGCGCTCTACAAAATTTTCGCGCTAATTTTGTCGGACGGAATAGCTCAAAACAGGTTTGCAGCTAAAAAGAGCTAAATGGAGCCAGAGTGGGAAAGAATACGTCTAAATTTACAACAGAAATATCAGAAATGTGCCATCTGAAAAGAAATAGTGCAGAATTGATGAAAATTAATCTCTGAGCAATCAGCGATCTATCGAGTCAAAACTAAAGTGAATTGATCAGTTTCTCTCAAAAACTGGATACAAGCAGAGATTAATTGCAAAAACGAATTACGCCATTGACGTGCTGCTTTTCGTGTGTTTTCTCCTTAATTTCTTGGTGTTTGGAGGCTTGCTTCTTAGCGAACTTCCACTGTTGCAGTAGCGCAATAGAGCGATTCACCTGCTCTTGCAGCTCGTCCAGCTTTCTCCACTTGATTGGTCCATCCATCCAAGAATCCTAGAAATGGCAATGCCTCCGTTAGTGACTACCTCTCTTCTAACATCACTTTAAGTTCATTATTTTATTACCGCAATATACAAGAATGCGGCGGCCGTCAGCGACTTGCGATTGAATAAGTATGGCAGGGAATGATACGAGAAATGCAGTAAAGTGAGCCGCGGCCTGTTCTTTTGGTTAATTTTTACATTTTATATATATTGTTACTACAGTTTTCATTAACCAGAAGAGTGTAAAAGTTAACCGAACTCCAAAGAAAAACACCAGCTGAAAAACGAAATATTACACCTAAAAGCGCAAAAATTTAGATTCCAAGCTACCAAAATCTAGCGTCAGTGGGTAAAAATGCTTCTGAACATGAAAAAAGCTTGTTTTTTAGTTAAGGACGACAAATTATCTAAGAAGTAGGCAGGCTCGAAATGTGCTCTTGTTTTTTTTTTCCTTTGCAAGAAAAATCGATCTTAAAAAACAAACCCACGCTGGGACGCACCAGGCCTGCCAGTGTGATCATGTGTTTTTGCACCAGATTTGAATTACTTAGATCATTAACTGCATGAATGGTTATTGCTTTGCATGTACTTTGTGCGTTCACTAGCGTAAATCATAAACTTTGCAAAAGGGGAACGAATAACTTCCGTTTTGTGGTTGTTCCTTGAAAGTAATCTAGCTTTCAAAGAGTGATTGTCTGCCAAAACTTTTAAGCACCCGTACGTGAGAACCACGCATACCTGGAGGCCGAATTCGGAATCTTTAAATCGTACGTTGTCAGAGAAGATTCTCTTAAAATTCTAACTTTCCGACCTTCTGGTTACCGAGTTAGCAATTTTCCCGCCAAATCTTTCATATGTCCGTAGATGAGAACCACAAGCACTTAGGGCCTGAATTTGAAATTCTTAGCCCACGCCCACACACAGAATATTCCTGCAAAGTTTCAACTCTCTATCTTTTCTAGTTCCTGGGATCGTTTTCCAACTTAAAAATTTGCATGTTTTTTTAAGGTGCCGGCACGTGGGAACCAGGCGTAG